AGGAAAGGGCAAAATTAACTAAAGACATAATGGGATGTGAAAATGCTGTGGAACTTTGGAAAATCTATTTTCAAATATCTTTGGAAGACTTCTTAGAGAACCTGGAGATAAAATACTGAACTTAAGAAAAATGATCATGTCGTAAAACGGATGATGATTGGAAACGTGTTAGGAGTTTTACATCTGTCCTCTGGGAATTCTTAGCTTGATATTCTCTAGTATTACACATTTTGTTTCACTAAATGGATAACAGTAGCAGAAGCTGAAGTTAAACTCACACAGAAGAAAATGTTAAACCTAACCTGAGGAATTCTGTTGTTCTATGGTATTCAGTTTGCTCTATGGAGGAATTCAGTTTGCTCTATGGTGACACATTTTTTGGAAGATAACTTTAACTGTGTGCTCAGGTTTTCCGGAGACCAGAAACTAATTCCTACCCATCTGTGTAAATGACTTTGATTATATCACACTAATCGAAGGTCACAGTAACAGAGGTTTCTACAGGAGAGCAGCATGCCACGTACAATCAACGAACTTTGTTCCCCATTGGAATTGGGAGTGACCTGAAGTCTTCTGCTCAGTTCCTCAGACAGCTCCTGAGGACTGGTACGGGATACTGGGGATGCAGGAGGCGGCGGCAATGACAAGCTTAAGGAATCTCCACTTGTGCTTGCCTCCTCTGAAATGGTTTCCCAAGGCTAACAAAAGAGAAGAAACTGTGTTAAGGATTTATAAAGACAGACCAGGTGTTCTTTCCCTTTGCCTTCTACATGGCCACCTCACTGTGAGAAACACAGCATGACAATCAGCCTTAATGTTTAATGAAATAAAGCAGTCCCTGGAACACACAAACATTCCACTTGGTTTGAAGTAGACACAGGGAAAACTGGTTTTCATGATGACTTCAAAACGGCTTTCATGTTGATGATGACATAATGCTTTATGATTCAACACAGAAATGATGTAGGATTAAGAGATGCATAAAAAAGAGCTCTCACTAAAAAAATTCCATTTGAAATTTTGTTCAAAATGTAACTAAATCTGCACTCTTGCTCAAAACTTGTAAGAAACAACCATTCATCCATCTTAATTTAGAATAAAATGCGCAATAGAAAGTACTTGTTAGTATCTGCAAAGCAAATATTAACAGGTGATGAGTGCAACAATAGTTTAAGCAATCTATTATTTGTTGCTCTGAGTAACATTTAGTGAACCAAAACTCACTTTCACAAAGAACGTTCTGAGATTCACATAATAAAATATCTATTAAAGTTGAATGGGATCAGAGCTTTGCACAAGCTCTCAACTTGGCCTATTAATATCTACCAAATTTAATTTATTTAGTCTAGCTATAAATTAAACAAACTCTCACCCTGATTAATAAGACCTCTGAATTCTAACTAAAACCAAGTATTTGGGAAAAAAAACAACAGCTTCTCTTTCCTCTAAATCAAGACACTAAAGAAAACTGAAGTAGATGGCAGTTCCAGCCAGTCTGTTTCCCTGCTTTTTACAACTTTTGCCAGCTGTTACTCAAAGCAGAATATTGAAAGTGTTTCTAGCAACGTATAGACAACAATTACAAATGCTCCTCCCATCATTCGCATGGTGTTTTGTATTGTGCGCACATCATCTGGACCCACAAATGCCCGGGACCTTGAAAGCACAGCTCTGTTTAGGATTTTTGCTGTGTCACTGGAACTTCACTGAGGCAGTTTCCACAAACACCATGTAAAAACATGACTGTATGTTGTATAGTAATCAGCTTACAAAGGAGAAACATCAGCTTGAAGTTCAGTCCACTTCTCAAACCCAAGACCTTCACGTACCTCAGGAATGTCTCCAGTCTCCATAGGTTCTGGTTCCAAATCCTCACTGATGTGTCTCCGAGAGCGGAACCGCCTGTGGGCTGCTTCTTGGTTAATTTGTCTGATGTTGTTATCTGAATCAGATCCCACGTCACTGGATGGTGGGGAAATGAAAGCATGTCCAGGAGGAAAGAACATGAAAATAACACATCTTAAACTAAAGCACCTACTTTGTCCCTTGCTTTCAAAGCCTCATTAATGCTTTTGATTATAAAATTCATTATGTCAGGTTTCATAAATAGGAGACCATTTAATCCCTCAACCCAAAGTAAATAAAACTGGAAGCACGTCCCAAATGTCACAGAATCCTAGAATACCAGGTTGGAAGGGACCTCAAGGACCATCTGGTCCAACCTTTCTAGGCAAAAGCAATGTCTGGACAAGATGGCCCAGCACCCTGCCCAGCCAAAACGTAAAAGTGCCCAATGTTGGGGCATCCACCACTTCCCTGGGGAGATTATTCCAATGGCTGATTGTTCTTAGTGTGAAATATTTTCCTCTTGTGTCCAATCGGAATGTCCCCAGGAGGAACTTGTACTTGCAACACTAGAAATTAACACTATGTATCAAAGGCAGCTGAGCAGAACTGGAAGTCCACACTCAAATCTACTAGCCCATCATTGCTCATCCCTTCCTGTGATGCTCAGAATCATTCCTGACACAAGGATTCTAACTTTGCCCCTGTCCTTATGTCAACTATTGTTTCCTTTTTGCGACAGCCAAAGCAAATGCCAGCTGTTGGGGTATGGATAACTTTTTGAACTGGCTGCATCTGCTCGTGTGGCTCACACCCAGAGTGGGGGAAATGAACAGATCAGTTCCCTGAGTGGAGACCTGCCTGGCCTGGAGGACTTCCCATGTGCACATAGACACAGTCTCTATTTCAGTCCTCACTGGGCAGATGCCGTTAAAAGGCAGCGTTGCAGCTGAGCCTCTCCTTCAGGATGAGGGACTGTAACTTTGGAAGATGGTTATGTTCAGGAAAAAATTCTTTGTGCAACCATTTTATCACTGTGCATTTTAAAGACCTACGAGACATGAACTACTCTCATGTTCCCACTGCAGATGTGGTCTGGGCAGCACTCAACATTTTCCCTTGATGACCAACTTAGTACCTGAGTTATTGGCTGACAAGTGAGAGCTTATGTATCCTACTTCCAACCTCCCAAGACCTGCTCCTAGTAGTTCCATAAACTCATAGAATTTAAAGCTCAACAGCATCATTTGAAAGTCTTCACTTGTCACCAAGTCTGGTGTCATGCATAAAGTTTATCAGCAGTGATTACGCATGTTTCCAAACTGCCTGTGACAATACCCAGCTCAAAGGGAACCCTTCAGGCCTTCACCTTACACACCCATCCAATGATGACACTTCCTAGTGATGACTACGTTTTGGTATCTGCCAGTCAAACATTTCTGAGTCCGTGTGCTCTTTACTTCATTTAGCATAATCAGATTACAAGGAGGTTCTGAATCAAATGATTTATAAAACCTGCTTTTTTATAGACATTTATGGATCATTACCAATCATCATGATAGTAGTTGCTGAGATTTACTTGGCAAAGTACACATTGCTTAGTAAATAGCTCAAATAGTTCAATAGTAAATAGTTCAAAACATGCAGAACAAAATTTGATTCAAT